CTGCGATTTGCCCCAATAAGATATCCTACGAGTGTAAAAGACGCCGACGCCACTGTCGACGCTATCGTATAATAGCTTTCGCAATGTTACAGCAATAACGATTAACCTGAATACGTAACAATCACTTCTTCCCACATACCCTGTCAAGATACTCAATATCCAATAGAAGTCGCTTTGAGAATTACGCTCGATGGAAAGAATGCGATAAATATATTCATAATGAGAATGCAATAAAGATATAGTTTGCCCTATCTCGAAAGTTTAACTATATCTTAAAGCCACCGGTATGGAAAGTCGACGCACGCTCAACCCTTAGCTAGTACTAAGCTAGAACTTGATGGCGTTGGCTATTCAGGAAAAATCATGGCTGCCCTTAAGGAAATCCTTATGAGGGTCTAACGTGACCCTAATAGGTAAATCCAAGGATTTAATAATCGTAACTAAGACTTGGATTCTTAAATCAGGCTTAAATTACCCCTTTACTGGGTCCTAACGTGACACGAGTTAAGCTAACCTAACCAAAAATTTTCACCGTTTAACATCCCGTAGCTAATTTTTCCTTATACGAGTCATATCACATATTTTCATGACTACGCCTTACAAGCATAAAAGGGCTTTCTGCAGTTTCAAGACAGGAGGCCGGCAGTCTAGATAAGTTCGCATACAGTCCCGCATAAGAATAAAATTTCTACACGAGTAGCTTCTTCGCAAAGCCATACGCGTACATCCTATCAGCAATATTCTCGAAGGATCTAGGTTAGCGAGAAATTGAAATTGCTTTCGTTCACTTCCTAGCGCATGTACAAAATGATAGGGCATTCCCGCAAGAATATCAAATCGAAACTGCTCATCCGTTTCGTAACCTGTAAACAAACTAACGTGTAAACTAAAGCGTACGTTCAATCGATAATGTTCACGTTGTTACATAATTAGCACAGCTTCATGACTGTGATATATATATACTCCCACACAATTACAATCCTGCGTTCTGCAGCGACTGAAAATTTACGTAATTTTCCATAAATTTTGAACTGGCTGCATTAATATCCAAATATAGAATGCGCAGTACCAAAATGGTGGCCAATGACTGTTTGTTTGTATTTCATAAATCTCTATATATATATTTACATATGACGAGCAATACTAATTCTGGTGCAAGGGTCCTCAAAGAATTTCTTTTTTAATGGCGCTCCTTGTACCAAGTATATGATATTTTTACTTGATGGAGAACTAACGGAAGGAAACCTATATCGCGCCAAGGACCTCAGTCACATTCCGGAAATAACTGGCGACGCTTCGTGCTACGGGTGGTACTGTTCTCCTGTGCCAAACGGAAACGCCGAGTAGCTACCTCCCTTGTATCGTCAGCCTTCCCAATGTAGTCGTACTGTCCACAGAGTAATTTCGCAGGAACGATTATACAAACTTGCTGCATTGTTTTCGTGCCCATAGATCGGCATTAGTACTAATTTTCGCCAAAGGTTGCTGCTTACTGATCCGAAACTATGAATTCGTTATTAATTTCTTGTTTACCGGCTCATGCAATAGTTGGACGTGTGTCGTTGGCTGTCACGTGGAGCTGCTTCAAATTGAAGTTAATTTGATTTTGGTTGATTAAAGCTTGCCGTTATGGAATAACGTCAATAGTAGGGGATAGAGCGGTTGAAAGCAAATATTATATCTATATACTTGTGCATACTGTATAATGGTTAATACGTCACGAATTAATATTTTCAAGTCCTCGTTGTTATATCTATGTATAATTATTATAACAATGACCGGATGGTAGTTAACAGGCAATCAATAGTCTCTTTGTTATATTTATTACGAAAATAGAGTTTTTTGGGGATTTTTCTAAATACTTGTCTAATACAGTGTTGAATATATCGATACATTTATAGTGACATATTTTAGTAATTTTTTACTATCTACGAATGCATTGAATTACTTATATCCTGTACAGTGGTACGAGTTTCTGTTTTTAAGGATTTTTCGCTTTTTCATTTTCATCCCCTATGTTCACGGGTGGATCCTCACGTTCTGGTTAGATATACGTTTGACTGAGTCAATTTCGCCCGGATTGGTCTTAATCAATTACAAAATTGTACAAGGCCGCGTTACGAGTGACCCTAAATTCTTGATTGAGCTTATATCAAAAACATCCCCTTCGCGGAGAGCTTGTCGAGTCAATTAGAGCTTCGCGGAAAATAAGAGGAATCATAATAGGATCCATAATAAGATCGTAGCAGAGGGTTAAAGTTTCAAGCAAGGCAGTAAAGAAAAATAAACGGGAAAGAAGGAAAATGTGCTGGGGGTTCGGAGAAAGAGAGTAAGGGAAGATGGAGTGAAAGTATGCGTATAAACATTTTAAGGGATGCTCTTCAGAGGGGATGTAGCTATCTGCTGCCAGTTCATAACTCTTTTCGGTTTCCGTCCACGTTTTTTTTTTTTTGTTCTGCTTTTTTTCACCCTCGACGCTCGCAAAAGCCCAGCAGCCAGCATGAAGGATCTCGTAGATATGGTCCGACCTGTGATATGGAATATATCTATCATTCTCGTGCGATTCCATGTTAATGCAATTTCAGGACGGTTAGCGGAAACGGGCCATATCCTACGGCAGCCGGCGTCGGCGTTGGCGTCGGCGTTGGCGTCGACTGTTACTACTGCCGCTGTGCTACCCGGTAGCAGCTACTGCCGCGCCAACTCTAATGTCACTCCCCTTTTTTTCGTCTGACTTTTTGCATGCACGCAGAAATATCCCGTGTCATTTCGGGAACGCGATTTGGCTGGTACTCGTCGGGACGCCGGATGTCGTTCCAATTATCGTCACGATTGTTCCACGCTGATCGTTAAGAAAACACTTTTCAGTAGACCCAACGTAACACGCACGTGAGTCAATTTTGCACTTCTGTGCATAAGTTCAGTTTAACAGCCTCGTTACATCGACGTTATGAAAATAAGTATATAAATGACGTAGCAGGAAAAAATTATTACCGAAGCAGTTGTTTGGAGAGAAAATTTGTCACCTGCTATTAGTAGCGATTCTGTCGAGATTCACTATACTGACTGTATTCTCACTGGTTTGCTTTGTTAATTTATCTAAAGTCGTGGAAATTCTCGCTAGGAATTCGTTGTAATTCCAAATACTAATCATTTCCATAACTAACTATATATATATAGTTTTCCCAGCATACACCACACGTATAATATTGTTTTCGCTATGTTATAAATTCAGATATCATTAGCCTGCAGTTTCCTACCTTATAGGTCGAGTGGGTCGTACGAAAAATGTATGTTTGTAATACTTCATAACTGCGCAAACGCGTACGGGAGTTTAATGTTTTTATTATCAGCATTATTAAAGTAATTGTATGTAGCTGTGCTTTTTCGGACGTCAATTGCGAGCACGTTTAATTAATCGATGGCTCAATTATGCGATTGGCGACTATCGCGAGTTTGTTGTGCCAGTTATTTCCTTCAAAGCGAAAGCTCGGTCCGCGCAGTTAATTACTATTAAATTTACAGAGTTTAATGGAGGTTCCAATGAAAATCGTAATTTACAGTAATCGATTACCACTTGTATCGGTTACTATTATATCAACTCTGTACAGAACATTTTAACGTGACGTTTGACTTACGGATTTATCGTTTCCAATGGAGGTGGAATACGCAAACAGCCGAGCCACTCGATACGGCAGCGTGAACAAATCCGTCAGGGTATAACGTCAGTTTGTTCCTCGCAATTTTTGTTCCCCCTTTTTTTTACGAACATTCCTGAAGGACAAATAGTACCAGAGGCATTGCTGAATAATCCACATTAAGCCGATCGATTATCGGATACAGTGCTTGGTACGATATGTAAAGTCAACATGGCCTCCAACCCTCAGGGAACGAACATAGTGTAAGCTGAAAGAAAAAAGATTTCTTATAAAAATATTCCTCGATCCCTTGTTTTTTTTATCAAATATTTTTTTCCCCTCTTAGGTGTCGCCTCGAAGAGGCCATTATTCTCTCTCAGGGGATGCTAATCGCGAGTGGATGACGGTTCCCTCGGGTCGCAAGGGGTGGCAACGAAATAAAGTCAAAAAAGAAATTGAATGGAGTCTTTATGTATATCTATATACAGATTTAATTTTATCGATAACATCCAATGTCCTGACGTTCTTATACTTATGTCTGACTGTGACAAGGCTCTCACTACTTACGCTCGACTCCAATGTCAATTTTCTTTCAGTTTCTCGATATCGTCTTTGTGAGGTAGGAGCCTTTTTTTTTTTCTCGTTCCCGTGCAATATGTCTACGTATGCGAGACAAACCTGAAGGAGACAAGGGAAGGGAAGAAAAGTTATTTATTGAGGTAACTAGAATTTAATCCAATTTTTGTCGAGAGAAAGATAAAGCTTTCGGTTGACCATTGTAGTACGAGATCTTTCTTTATTATTTTTGCTACGACATAAGTTTTATTCGGCAATGAAAAAAAAAATGCTTTACGTATCACAAATTCATGACGATTGTATACGTACCTTTTATGGTCACAAAAATTGCCAACCCTTGAAGTCATTTTGAAAATTGAAGTCGCTGGTACGTTCAACAAATTTTTTTTTCATTGCGAACGAAGGGATTTTTTTTTTTTTTGAAATTACTTGCGATTTTCTTGGACATTAAATACACACGATACAATTTTTTTGGACGATATTCTTTTTATTGATTGTTGTGTACAGATTTTCCACTTTTTTTAATCTTCGCTTACGTATCCATTTGTTTGTTCGACAATTAGCTTACGACAGACGATTCCTTTTCTTTTATTACAAAGTTACGGGTACAACGTTTACAAATGATAACAGAGCACGAGGAAATGACGTATTAAATCGAAGATCTTTTTTCTTTTCTTTTCTAATATAATTCGAAAGTTCGCAGTTAGTCAAGGATAATCATAAACACAGCGAGCTTCTATCTAGCGCTATATCCATCGCTAAGATGATAATATTTTTCATACTTACGTATCGATGATGTTGCCGCGTGCTGTTTCCATGACGACCCCAGTCTCCTCTATGGGATTATTCTCAATCGTAGTAATTCCCATGATTTAGGAATATTACAGTAGAAAATGTCGAGTACGCCGCCATACATTTTTTCTTTAATCCTGTGGTCTCACGGACTTTCCATTTATGTATATAAATTTTTTTTTCTTTTCTTTATCGTATATCATTATCATTATTATCATTATCCCTCAACGTCCCATCGTTCTTAGCTGTCTCGTGTGGAATGCATAAGTTAACGCATTTTATTAACAATTTACATCAAAAGATAACATGTTCAAAAGTAACTGTATATCGTTTGTTGTATTATTTACTCGTCACTCCAATAAAAATTATTCACCTATCTACTTCATACATAGTATAACATACATAACTGGAAGCCCTAGACTACTAGGTTTTACATGGACGATGTAATCGGGTCAGACAGATGCAACGGCGTCTCAGGAGCCGTCGAGCTACCTCAGGATGGACACTCGTAGAATGTTGACCACGTTGACCATCGTCGTGGCGACTAGAATCAGTCGGTGAGTCTCGGACAGAACTGGATGACCACATCCGCTCGAGTCTGGTAAACAAACGGACAAGATATTATAAATTTGTTGATCGGTGAGTTCCAGGACTCTTGCCGATACGTATTAGGGACTATGAGGACACTCGAAGACTTCTAGGACGGGCCTGGAAGTATTTTCATGTGTAACGATATACTTCCAGGAACATAAAGCGGCACTCACACCGAATTTTCCAAAAACTTTTTATACTGGACACTCAATTGTGACGGGTTAAGAAATGATTTCGTTAGGTTAGATTAGCTCAGCACTCCAATAACACATGTCCCAAGGGTTAGTTTAAAAGAATAACGGCTTGCCGTTGTGAGTGCCGCACATCCTGGAAGTACACCTTCGACAAAATATATATGTTATTTCTCGTTATCATTATTTTTACCGCTCGTTAATCGAATTCCATGTGCATTTCCTGTATTTTCATCGAGCGTTCTCCACTTTCAGGAAAAACTGAGGGTTTACAAACTCCTTCGATGCAGATAACAATGGTAAATACGTACAGTGGGATCACTGCCGTACAGCATTTTACTCTTTATTGAGAATACGCAGACGAAGGTATTTTCTACTTGCCGATAATCAACTGTTAATGGACTCCTTATCGGACTTTGAAATAGTTTAGTTGTTTATTATTAAATTCTCTATATTCAGACAGGGGTGTCCGGATCGTTTGAATTGTTTGAAAGAATTTTTAAATTTTTGAAAATTTTTCTTTTTAGTTAAAAATATATAATGTTGGTATACGATGCCAATTTTTCACTAGTATAATACCTGGTCTGTTCGAAGTAAATGATCGACAACTGATTGAGAAGTTTACCCACGTACAGTCACGCTACTCGTGAATACTGAAATGTTGTTAAATCCACGTTTTCTAGTAAACTCAAAATTTCTTTAGTAAGTGTCGTTACGCAACCCGGGAGAAAAGTTTTCGTACCTCAGATCCTAGTCGCGAAAGCCTGCGGCAACGTGAAACCAAAGAGTCATATTAAAGCTGACTTGTTAGTTTCTGATGAAATTTTCAAGTTAAAGAAAAAAACTATCTTAGCAGGTAAATCAAGTTGGAAGTTACTCGGTGCTTTAAAGTCCACGTTGCAAATGTATCCCTTCGTCCCAGCAGTATCGCCGGACCCGATCGAGGCGTCTCGTTTCCCATGAAAACCAATGCATAATTCAATCCGCGTATTATGGAACGAGTAGCGAAAGGGAAATTCTGCGGGAGATTCAATTTGACAGCGATGAAAATAAATCTCACTGTTCTGGCTATTGAATAGGATAGAGGGACGGATATAGTGGAGATTCGGTGCAACGTGGGAATACGTGAAATGAGTGCACGTGCACTTGAAAGGACACGCGGACTGAGTGCACATGGCAACAAGGGCCTATGAACCGAACATTCCTCTTCATTCGGTCCATATCGCGAGTAATAAATCCCTCGCGAATCTTTATCACCTGTATCGGATTAATAAAGCGCACTCGTTTAATCCGTGTTGTTTTATTACGCGTGTCTGCCCACTCGAAACACGCTGCTTTTTATTAGCCTTTTCAAACTACCTTCGCCGCGGTAGGTGCGCATGCACTCTAACGCGTTCGACGTGTCTCGAAATTATTTGAATTTCGCGCCGCGAATTTCAAAACTCTTCCCCGCTCTTTCGCGAGGCTTTGATACACAGGAAGTCGACGAGGCGTGTCGCGATTTTCAACGAGCCATAAAGAATTTTTCTGAATCTCGCATCGAAATTGGAAACTCGCCAGAATGAAAAACGTCGCCGAGAGAGAATGAAGTTATTGCATCGAGAGCGGAGGGAGATTTGTCTTTTCGTTCTTTTTTTCCAATCGCCTTAGAAATCATATTAAGACAAATTTTATTGAACAGGCAAACGCAACTTCATACTGGCTTACACGCAATTTCCAGTACTGCCAATTGTTAAGGGGACTAAATTTAAAAAAAGGTGTATTGTCCCTGTCCATTGTAGAAAATAAAAAGGACGCTTTAAAGTTACTAGAAATTACTATCCCTTCGTATACAGTAAACTCTTTTCGAGGTAATTTCCCTTTTTCATCTCTTCGTCCCCCGATTATTTGCCTTCACATCGAACGGACTATATATGTACATAAGGATACGTGCTATTGTCCCGCTAATGAGGCTCATCCCCTTTCATTCTCTGCATACATAGCCTACTTGTAAATCCGTCGAATAACACAGACTCGACAGAGTCCCGTTTACTGGATAAGGTCGGTTTGGTCTAAGTTCCACGTTTGGACTTGCAACGAGCAAACTATGTTAGACGCGGCACGTGCGCTCGAATGTAAACACGTAAAACTCATTAGGCTAGTAAAAGTTCGGCGCGCGGATTCCACCATCCACCACCAGCATCGACGTACCTATAACTTCTTTTTCCTTCCTATATTCCCTCGTATTTACACGTGCTTGCATTTTTCTCACGTATGTTCCATACGTCAACGTATAGTTTATCGGATAAGCGGTGCATGCCTAACGAGATAAGAACTACTCGCCAATATTTCTCAACGTTTTCCGGGAAAGAAAATCGAAGTACACGTGCGGGATTGCATATGGATTGGCAGCCGGAAGTGAGCGAGAACGGAGAAGAAGCACGCGTTCGTTTCTTGATTGAAATGGGGTCACGTGACAAGGAAGAATTACACGCGTTACGGTGCGCATGCGGTGAATAAAAAGAAAAAGAGAAATGCAAATAATATACGCGAGACAAGAAAATTGAAGAAAATCGGGGTATAAAAATAATTAACTCAATTTTTGTTGCTTCAAAATTATTTCAAGAAAAATGACGTATGTCAATAATTTTCTTACCCGCTGTATTATCTTTGAAAAAATGTACTAGTTATTATTGATAATCATAAATTGTCACAGACTATTCGCGAATAAATAATGTAACTGAAAAAGCGTCTCGAGGACGATTATCCGATTATGTTAAGTACCGAATTGTACCTACTGAATAGTCGAATGAAGTAATGGAAGTAAATTGTACGAATGGCGACTGCACCGAGAATTATTATTCTATAGAATTCATGAATGGTACGAATTGCATGGGGACGTAGAATGGACATGGTGTTTTAGAATTTCTATAGAAAGTAGAACTTTCCGAAGACTCAATAAGCATCGCGTGGACGTTCCTGGATATATATATATATATATATATATATATATACACACACTTACACCTGATATCTGAAAGTGGGGCGCGTTCATGTATTTTAAAGCGTCGTAAATCAATAATGTTAATATTTAAAAAGGAGTTTTCAAACTGTTTCGATTTGCATGTACTTCTCACGGTATGAAGAGATGAATAAATTTACATTACTAAATTCCCATCGCTCTTACTTGTCGCACTTGGGCCAAACCGCGTAGGTAATTCAACATTGAGGAATGAAAAATGAGGACGCCCGACGTCTTCCTCTCGCGATTGACGTCGTCGCTATTATTGTTTCCCCTCCTCCCGCGACGTCACAGTAGGTTTTACGTCAAAAAGGAGTCGCGCGAATTCCACAAATCTTCGAAACGGGATGTCGGTCGGAAGTATACAAAAGATACGGAAGTAGGAGGTCCTACGAAGAAAAAGAAAGTTGTCAGTCAACTTTCTCTTTCGGTCACTTTCGCGAATTTATCCAATACGAATATTATAAAAATTATGACTAGAATTTCATTATTTACTATTAGCTTCCCTTTCATTCTTTTTTTTTTCCTTACACTTTTCCTTTCTCAATCCATCACTACCCTATTTCTCATTTTAATTTTTTTCTAATTTAATTTCATGCATTTCTCTTTGCTCCAGAAAAAAATGTTATGCTGTACAGTGGCTGTGTGTGTGTGTATATATATATATATATATATCCATTATTGTCCTTTATCTTTGATTGCGTAATAACAGTGCTGCCAATAACGTCAGCACAAGGATAGAGAGATGCCTGTCCTTCGTAGTACGACTCATAGCCAAGTGCTGCACTTTTATTGACGTATTTGACTGATCGACGCATCGATGCAATATCTTCGGCCGATCAGCCCCGTAAAACAGCCGTAAATCATCCCAATGAAAAGAGTAGGGGCGAATGAATCTTCTAAAAGCAGTTCGTTCACCCTGGTAAGTGTGACAGTGAGTCACAAAATCGACAAATGATTCATCACATGAATCAAGTGCATCTTATATGTCGCACATCAGTCTATAGTATGTGTATAATGTACAGTGTACCAGCTGAGATGCACGTTGGCGGTTTCCGGTGGAAAGGTGGGAGATTTAAAAAATTTGATATGAGAGCCATGGAATATTTTTGGATTGCGTACCGATTGCGCATATTATTATTGTTCGTTTAACTTCCGTTGGCAAATAAATAAATTATCTTTAACATTTTAAATAATATGGAAAAAAGTTTAGTGCAAAAGTCGTAGAGCAAAACGGAATAGAGACGAAGAAAAAGCTCATACGGATAATATACGTGAGTGTGACATTTGCTGTTCGAAATATATGGTAATTTTTGGACATCCGATACTGGCGGAACACTTTAGCTTCGTGCAGCAGCTTCGCGCCGAACGCGCCTTTTGCCAATTGTTTTGAGGTACGCGTTTAGTCAGAGAAAAATCCGCCCGCGGAGGTAAAAGATATTGCAATGTAATTTTTTTTATTACAAATTTGAAATCTACATATTTCATTTCAGATTTTGCTAGTTCCTCGCCATAGATTTTCGAGTCTACGGGAGAGTCTGGGATTACGAGTGTTCCTGGTCGTAACGTATGCAGCCTTAGCATCCTTAGCAGTTTTTCGCTTTCCGGTTCAATAAGCATTTTCCGAATTCCACGAGCCGTATCTTCCAGAACTATCGCAGGTGCCTAACAGCGCCTCCAGGTGAAATTTTTTGGAACTAACTATAATGCTCCCCTCGGAACCACAACTTTTGGAGATAATTCATCGAATTCTCGTTCCACTCCCCCTAGCGGAAATTACCGGAATTACCGCAGGTGCTTAACAGCGCCATCTGGTAGGTTTTTTTTCGGAACTAATAAAGTTGCTCCTCTCGAAAATACATATCTTGAATTCTCGTTACGCGCCTCTTATCGGCTGCAACGAGGAACGCATAATGCTGCTAAGGCTGGTAGGCTAGTAAATTTATGAAGGCTGCCAAAGGTTACGACCAGGAATACGTACAATCCAAAATAGAACATGTGGACTTCCAGCTTGCAATAACGAAGCAATAGCATTGCAATAAGCATGCCTCTAAACAATTGTGAAAAGTTTGGAGTGAAGCTGCTACATGAAGATAAGGCTTAATCTAAGTCCGTTTTGAAAATCTGTTAAAAAAAAACCAAATTTCAAACAGCAAATATCTTCCTTGTTATGTTTGCTAGGTGTATGAACTTTTTCTTATATTGATATACATATATACCTTAACAAATTGCATCCGATCGAACGTCGAAGACGAAGGATGGAAGTAAATCGCGATTTCTATCGTTACTCATTTTTGCCATTCTCGAGCGCCCGACTAATAACCCGACTAAGGATTTATTGGCAGCGTCACGCTCGCGTACGTATAGGAATAGCTGGCGTACGGCGATGAAATAATGACAATTGTCAAAGGTTATAACGTGGAGATAGGGTTATCTTTGTCTATCAATAAATCGTGCAATCACTTATCGCTGCGTATAAATATACGTCTGGAATTGCACGGTGCATCATTCCGAGCACTTACGAAAGTGCAAACATTAATTAGAGCAGAACGCTAATTGCCACGATGTACCATCAGAGCGAAATTGAATTTCGCGTTTCGTAACAGTCTCTAGGCTCGATGACTGCAGAGCTTCAGTAAGTTATTCCCGTCGAACGGTTTGGTTCAAGTTTTGCCCTTTCGTCTTCCAGCGGGATAAATTCTGACATTTGATCAGATTGCAAACTCCTCCGGTACCCTTGATGATCTAACGAAGCGCGGGAGGAGAATGAAAAAAATCTGTAAAGTAATAAAAGAAACGATAGGATAAAGCTGAGCAGGAGAAACTTTTGCAACATAAACGTAGGCCGAGCGAAAATTGAAGATGGTAAGAGAAACGAAAAAAATTAAAAAACAAAAACGACTTGAAACTAGAAAGCCAAGCTTTAAAATTACTCGATTCGATAGAAGAGCGGATAGCACAGAAAACTGATAGATTCGCACAGGAGTATCTCTCACTCGGGTAATGCGATACCTTTCTATTAGCGAAATCGACAGGATTTAATTAGCGCGAAGCGTCCGGGTAATTACTGATAATCGAAGGCAGTTCAATAGTGAAGCAGAGAGAGGTTCGTTAGCGTGAATTCTTTTTCAAATTTTTTATTTGCGAAATTCTCACCAGATAGCGCTAGCGTATAACACGTGTTTCTATCGACGCGCATTTAATCGGAGAAATTTCCCTGTAACTGGCTGGATGGTTGTTATATATATATATATATATGTATTTTTTATCAACCCCTAAATCCCGAAGGGTAACCAAGGAGGGACGTTCAATTGTACTGGAAATTAAATGACGTGAAAAATGTCCCTCGAAAGGGCCAGCCTACAGCCACACTGTAGTAGCTACCCCTATAGGATAGTCCAAGTAAGGGACCCCTGCTGCTGGTAAGCACCGTAAGTCAAATCGGAGACGATCGTCCGCGATAAAAGTAATTCCATTCCCGTAACTGCTGTACGGGTCCCCCCCTTTTTCATCTCCAAAATTTTCCACGACTTCTCGCGAGCTCCCACGAATACGCGTTTCCTGCCATTCCCGTGACGCTGCGAAGCCAATGACACGAGAACGCATAACCATCTAAGGCCAGCATGATTCATAAAGTAAACGGCATACGAGTCAGGATGACAGGACCGAGGGTGCTAACCCTCGCAATTGACACAACAGAGGGCGCAACCCCCGAGAGCTTCCGGCTCGTTGACCGCTTACGAATGGCAAACATTCAGGGTCGGGCGAGGGAAAGGGTGGGGCGAAACTGCAAATTTTACGTGAAAACTCAAATATTTTTGAGCACGCTTCGTATACACGTATCTATAACGTTCGTCCCAGGGGACGATGTGGGTTCAATCGAGACTTTCTTTGTTCCCTTTCAAGTGTCATATATAAAAAAAAGTCATGTTTACAATTTACGTGATCGACGAGTGATGATATTTTCCGAGGGATCATTTTTATACGACACGTAGTTGAACTTACGGTGACTGTGTGGCGATGCGTCTCCTGTAATCGGGGCCAAAAGGGGTGCGTCCTCTGTGACGTCGAGTTCAACGGAGTCGCGGTACACGTTGGAAATCTCAGCGAAGCAACGCACCTGCAGGCGGCCATCTTGAAAGAGATCACTCGAAATTTTGAGCTCGAGACTCGCCCGAGTCATTTCCATTTCATACTGGGCCACCCTCTGAGACTGTACTTTGTACTGCATCGTATCGTTGTTCAGCTGCAACAAAAGATCCAGCATCACTGGATATGGGCATTATCCAGCATCATAGATAATGCCGCTTTTAAGATGGAGGACATGCAGTCGCTCTTTATTCCTTTTTTTCATCTTTTTCCATTCCCCCCCCTCCCTCCTCCCCCCTCCCAACCTTACTTCTTATAACGCCCCAAACCCACTCCTCATCGCATTCCTCTTCTTCGTTCTTCTGGTTACGGTAGCCACTCATCTCACGAGTATCTCTGCCAACCCTGTGACTTTCCTGTACGTCACCTCGGCCGAGTCTTCCGGAAGGGAAGAAAAAAGAGCCGAGAAATATCCTCTCAACGTTATTACTTCGGCAAACAAACAAGGGCATGCATCAAGCCAGACTTACGACGTAGGGCAACGCGCTGTGTCTATAAAGTGTAAAGTGTAAAGCGTAAAGTATCCAACGTAAAATTTCCTTTATACGTTCCTGCTTTCGTGTAAGGTGCGTGTATAGAGACCCAATTTAGACCCAACTGTATCCGATTTTACTCAATCTTGTCGTGTATCGTTCTGATTGGATTACGGCACCTAGCAAAGTCTCGTCACCTGCCTACCCTACCTGTAGGTATTAGGCAATTTTCTAATTTTATGAACTGTTATAAATTTAAATGTTACCAGGTATTAGAATATTTTGAGAAAAAAAAAGATTTTGAGGATTTCTGAAAATATTGTGAGGACACACAAATTTGCTATTGATAAAATCATATGAATTACTTTAATTTTTGTCACATTGAAAATTGTCGATGACCGTTTCGGAAATCTCAAAAGCGCGCCAGAAACAAAAAATATATATGCGCAACACGAAAGCTGGAGGGTGAACTTAATCTCGAATGTAAGCTTCTACCTTGGCACAAGATCAACTGCGTATTCGTGGGTGACACCCATTTCTTTATTTCTTACTTTTTCGTCCCTTTCTTCCTGCACTCTTCCTTATTCACGTATCTCTTACCGAACCCCTCATGGGTTATCTAAATTTTTGGAAACTGCTGAAAATCGATTTGGATGATTTAAAGAAAAAAAAAAAAAAAAAAAAAAAAAAAAAAAAAAAAAAAAAAAAAAAAAAAAAAAAAAAAAAAAAAAAAAAAAAATCTGGCACTGTCACCAAGTAATCAATTGCTAATGATAATTTCATTCCCTTACAAATTATTTCACGATGGGGAACAGGGAAGAATAATTTAAGGAAAGACTAAAAAGATCGATTGAGACAGTTATAGGACGGATGGGATGGAATTCTTTTTGGAAATACCTTATCCCATTTGTCGAGGACTCAGCTGTAACGGTTGTTCAAAAACTTTTCTTAACTTGCGAAAAAAAGGAAAAAAAAAACAAGAATCCTTAAGATTACTTTTTATTCCTCTTGCGAAAAAAAAATGTAACGATCGACATACTCTAATTTATTAACAAGACAGAAGTCCGAGAGTCTTAGTGTCAATGTTAATAATATAAAGAAGAAAGATATTCTATAGCAAACCCATAATTTAACTATACATATGTATATGTATATAGTTACCTATCAACGCAAGGTATACAAGGTGTACACTCCAAATGAGAATTAACATCTTTTAATCAACACGTTCCTGGCACGTACTGCCTTGTCACATTTATTTCTTTTCTTTCCCCGACCCTCCTTTGAAAACAGGGCGCCACAGTCGATTTGGCGAATCTTCCAAAAAACTATAATTTAATCGCGAAAAATTAAAAGGATCAAAAAGTCTTTATATAAAAGTCCCTCTTAATCTGATCGATTCAATCGAGGAACTAATTCATTTATTTAAATACGCAACACGGCTTTTCGGGTTTAACGCAATGATGCAATTTCCTGTTAATCAGGAAGTGGGCTGTTGACCCAGCTGGAGCTTGAGAGGCTGTGTCGATAAGCGTGAGTGTAAAATCTCGGCTAATCAGACGCGAGTATAACGGGGCGAACGAATTCATGCTGTTAGGGTCACGAGAAAATGAAAGTAGAAACAATATAAGAGCACCCTATAGGGTATAATATATAATCTTATAACACATACTATAGATATACATGATACTACAGTGCCTACGGTATTTCGTATGGCATTACTACACGTGTCTGATACTACATGACCGAAATTTTGACCGTTTAGGATTGCCATTATTGATTTTATAAAAAATAAATACATCGATACTGCATTGACAAGGGTGGATCGACGTGAAGGATTAGACAAGATCGTGATTTAATTACTTACTATCAAAGTGATTTTAATTACCCACGGATCAATACTTAGTACTCGGATAGGATAATTAGAAATAATTTAATTAATCGAAATTGCTATAGCACCGCAAAACAAACCCCTTTCACCCGACAGAAGAGACAGTTTGCTAACCCGATGTAATTTGTAAAGTAAATATGAGCATACCGATTGGTTCACCCGCTGTCAAAATACTACAGCGAGACAGGGTTGATCTTTTTTTCATTTCGACATATAAATAAATTCATAAAGTGTATCGTGGCTGCAATTTATCAGTATACCTATATAAAGTACATGTATATAACGTAAAAGCGGACGTGGTGAGATTCGGTCGATGTTGCCATTCGCACTCGTTTTTCCAGGAATACTCAAAAAAAAAAAAGAATATGTGTATATAACTTTTCGTATACATATACTACATAAGTACTTCGTATCTGTCCTGCTGGGAAGCTTTCCACGCGAATGCCAAACGCTCGGAAACGACGCCGGGCACGAGCGGGCAAGTGAAAAATCGACGCCGCATAGAGTGAAAGGAGGATGGGGGCACGTGGAGGGAGAATGGCGTATGATGGTTGAGGGATGAAGGAGAAAGAGGGTGAAAAGGGAGAAAAACTCAAAATGTGAAGCGGCCGAGGTACGGGGGACTGGCGATGACTTGCGGTAAGTTAAAGTTACGTCACACAATAGGCCGTCTATTTTTTTGGTTCCCCCCACTGAAATAACCACTGACAGGCGTCCTCGCTACGGTAACGACTGGCTTTACCAATATAAAATCGTTGCTTTTCCAGGCTCACTCTGCCCGCTCGTGCGAAACGAGCCATTGTCGTTTCACTGGTACAACTCGACTTACGAGTAAAATCCGAAAAGTTTCTTACGGACGTCATTAACGCTGCCATGAAAACTGTTCGATTACAAATCATCGCAAGTTTAATGTATATTTTTATTAGAATAATTATAATAATTCTAATAGTAATAGTTAATAGTTAATAATGCCTTGTAATAGGAATTTTGAACAGGGAAGTTTTAACTTTGATTTAAAAAAAAAGTCCCTTTATTTCCTATCGAAGTTATTACCGTGTACGCGCGCTACACGAGAAAAACTGAAAACATTATGTTTCGAGAATTTATCAAGAGTTTATTTTGACGGAGTGGTTGTAGAGTGACGTCATGGGGAATAACGGCTCGTGTCGATTCGAAACGAACACTGCTAACTATGACGCCTCTTTGGTTGACTAACTGGTAAAGCACTCCAGGCACTTCCGTCGTATTAAGCGCGATACCGGTTGATGGATACTAATTGTCAAAACTAATTGCAACGTAAAACGAGGAGACTCGAATTATAAAAAAAAGGAAAAAAAACCAGCTATAAAATGTATAGTGCGCGAGTGAATAAAGAGGATACAGTATAACCAGGCTGAAGTATAAAAATATTTTGTGCGTGATAAATTACGTGTATACGTTATAGGTAGCAAAGGAAAAGGCGTCTACGTTGAGTGGGTGGCAATGACTGGTACATAGAATTTAGATGTTTGAACTGGTAGAAATTGGTTCAGGAATTGCTGAGGTTAACTGAAAATTATTGAGGGTGGCTGAATGGTTACCTGAGGGCAGAGACAAGGAGCAAGAAAGATAGAGAAAATAAAAGGGACACTAGATGGTAGACGTAGCTGTGGACTATGGAGTTTATAGAGTGTACCATACTAAGCGGAGTCTTGTGACTGCCGTATAGAAACTTTAATCATCCAGTAAGGTCACGTAGGTGTCGGTAGGTGAGGCGAGGTGATACTTACGTGGTTTCCGTTGAGGGTCCACTTAATGACGGGGGCGGGACGGGAGGGTCCCGATGTGCAATTCGCTCGAAGAGTTTCCCCCGCTGGTAAACGCTGCCTCTCAGCCACGATCGTGGGATTCGTTTCTGGGACATCTAGTAATTATATAATTTAGCAGATGCAGTAAAGAGATTAAGTTGATTCTGGCATAACGCCAGGCACGAACTCAGGAACACCTAACCGCACTGTGGCGTCCCTGCCGGCTATTCGGTCGAACCTACTACAGTCCCGTCTCATCCCACGAGAACGGCACCTCTAACCTCCTTTACGGCTATACAGAAAAACCACGTACGTACCTACAACCTCCATCGGCGCTTCCTTTATCGCAGTATGGAAGGAAGGAGCATCCGCGGATACTTCGCATTTGTACCGTCCAGTCAGCTCTCTAGACACGTTGACTAGAGTCACGTCGTGGTTGTCCGACTTTGAGATCTGCGAATGTCAAATTTAATGTACCATACCGCTCCGCCTATCGGCTTCGACTGCTACCACGGCTGCCACCACTCAAGTACAGGTACAGTCCCTATAATATATTTTATGCTTCCACCAGTCAGTCGTGTTATAGGCAAAGTTCGTCTTTACCGACCGAGTCCTTATTTTCTGTCTCAACACGCCCTCTTCATTTTCCCTTCTGTTTATTTCTCTCTCTCTCTCTCTCTCTCTCTCTAAATTTCTCTCCCTCTTCCTCACTCTATTCCTTCTCATCCTGTCCTTAAATTGAGATCAGACTTTTATCCGGCCATTTACATGCATCGCGTCATCTCGCCGAGACAAACTAGATCACTATTCTGGACTACCGGATTCCCTTTCTTCTTACTCCCGTCACACCTCAAACTCACTCCTCCTCAGTAACCTGATATCCTGGTTGTCGCTCGGCTGCGAGTTTCTACCCACGCCGCGTGCTTCGTTACACTGAGACTGTCCCTGCGGTACGATTATCATTTTATACCTGGGGATTTGCACGGTCCCAGACAGGACGACGCGCTTCGACACACACCGAGAAGGATATTGGATTTACGCGGATGTCTTCTGGAAACTGATGAACCTCTTGGTTGTTGTTGGTTAGTTGTCTTTAATATATATATATATACACAAGTACGTGACGCATTGATGCATCTTGATATACCCTGCGCTATTACCACTTCTTACAGTATAGTATCCTGTTGCTGCTACTTCTGTTGCCAGTGCTGTTAGTGTTACTACTAGTTCTACTAGTCGCGCCGCTACTAGAAGCCATAGAACAATGCACTCAAGGAAAATTTACGAAGCCAGAGTAAGTTTCGCATAACTTTGGTAGAACTTTACTGTATGTGATGCTATCGCGATACTCGCATGGGATATACCTTTAGTTAAATGGCTGCTACGCCAAGATGGGGTACCGTATAGGACGCTAGTAATAATTTGAACTTGCTACCCACTATTTTTCTCTACCTAGGAAACTGGCTTTTGCATTATTCGAGATGATGGCTTATATGGATATCAGCTTGACCGGCACTTCCGGGCAAGAAGTAACGGCTGCTCTGGACGTTATGATGTTCGGTGATGAGATTTCGATGTAGAGTAGCGCTTCTCGAAATGAAATCGTTATCGATTTATTTTTTCATCCAAATGCACACTAGCAATTCGTTCGTACTTCAGGATGCTGCATTTAGGTCAGTTGCGAATCAGTTGATTTTCCGAGATATTTTTCAAACGACGATTTTTCATCGGTTCGATGTTTCCGGGGTTTCGAAAAATCTATTTAGGCTACCGTTCACAACCAAGCGATAACTGCAATGAAATACAAAGCCAAAACCATAAGCTCCATCACGATACGGGAAATGCGAAAAGCTGCAACGGGCATTCGAACGACACTCACGGGATTTGCAGATGGTAAATAACGCTTCTCCGGAGAAGCTCTGAAGTCGAGTTGAATTCAAAGTCACCATTTGTATATCGAACGTACCTAACCTAACAGTTGGAAGAAGTTATTTTTCCTCGGCACTCCAAGAAAACTTTTTCGCGAACATCGATTCTAGAAACTCTCTCGACACGCCGTGTCCGCGGTGAAGCGAGTTTAACTTTCCTGAAATTTCGTAGCCGCTATCTCCGGACTTAACATTACCTAGAGCAACCTACCGGCGTACCTTCTAGAATCGCAAGATTCCTCATTCCGTTCCTTCTGCACCGAGTAGAGACAAGCGCGAGGTTACTCTTTTTCTTTATTCAAATCTTCAGCGTTAGATATACCTTTTTAAAATTTCAATACCTATCGTTTCCCTACTTTGAGTTCATTAAAGTTTCAGCACCATATTTCCACGTTAACTCCCATATGAAATATTACGTTGTTCATATATTTTTCATACAATTCCAACGCGGACTGACATACCAAGAGTTACCGTTACTTTCTCATAACTTAACAACTTCTTACGTGAAACTACCGCGTGCCGCTTCGAATTCGAGTAGCGGAGAAACGTGAGTATAGATCGACGGTAGTTCCTATCGCTCCCATAGGAACGAGTTAGCTAGCATGTAGTGTGCCATACCGGTAGAAACGTGAAACTCGGTTCCGCGCACATTCCGTTTTCTGAAATCGCTGGTACACCTTTAACCCAGTAAAGCTCTTGGGAAGAAACAGCAATTAGATCCCACGAGATCCCGAAACGTGCCCCTCTCAAATTTCATTGTCCATACCTAAGTACGTTCGCGGCTTGCAGGGATCGAACTCACTTCCTATATTCATTCCAATAGGCATCTTCCACCACTTCCTGTCCTCCCGCTTCACTAAAAACGTGAAAATATTGCGATCGTCTCAATTTCTCCAAACTCTTCTTCCGGGATGATCCTGCCATTCCGTACTAGCTGCTCTATCCCACCGTGTAATATACGGGGTTCTACCAAGTTTCCCATCGACTGGCACACCTACAGTTCAAACACGCTGGATCCTATGGTATACTATATCGTCGGCAGCGGCGGTCGAACGCGAAACTTACTTGACCTAGGTTCAAAGCCACTCGGTCGGAATCCTAAAAGGTTTTCGCTAGCGGCATCCGCTCGTAAATCAACGTGTTATCGATCGGCCCGCGGAAGCCGTCTCCAAGGTTCGCACAATTTCTGGAAACGATGCTTTAAGCAGTATTTTTAACAGCTATACGTGAGGTACACAAGTATCAAGGTATTTAAGGTATGAGTTTCCCTTAAAAATTGAATTTAGAATTAAACTATTCTAATGAAAAAAATCTACGAAGCATAAATCAACCAACTGCTGGGTCCGCGTAGGATTCAAATGAAATTATGAATTTCAGACGTTGAGTTAGTTCAGTCTAATCAATCCACTAATCCTGATAGCCATGGCGAGATGACCTCCGTGTAAAACTAATTTGACTTACGAATAGACTATAGCGAGTTGCAATATTAATAAAATTCTCCTTATACTTACATCTACTTTTATACCCTGAACCGGAAATACGGTGTGGGATGGAGCTTCCTTCGGTAGATAACGATAAAATTCAACGTCTCCACGATACCATTTAATGGCATAGAGACTGGCACTCTCGAGGTCATAATTGCAAGATAGCAAAGCGTCATCCCCAGATCTGACCATATCCGGAACTTTGATCTTTACATCCTTCAGACCGGTCGCACCTGCGAACAGCGTAGCAAAAGAAAAACAGCCGTTACTCTACCGTCACGTAAGTGTAGGATAGAATTGGCAATATCGGCTCGACCCACATAGACGAGCCCTCTCCGATACAAGAAGTAAAACGATGGGAAATATTCCCAAGGGACGAAACACCCCAGGGCAACCAATCCTTTTGCCGTGAAGAACCTTCAACGTCGAACTCGTCCACAAATCGGTCAACCGAACGAATATCTAACCCTCCATCCCTTGTGGTCCATATATACATACGAGGAGAAGGCCCCATTTCCACTTTTTTTATCTCAACCTAGTTTTATTACATCTCCTTGTACTAATTCTAACCTGAAATTCTTCGTGCCAATAATTATTTATTTATATAAAAAAAAAGGAACCCCCACTTGCATTCAACTTTATTAATTATCTCATGCGCAATCGTTGATCCATCTTAGGCAAACTTTTCATTGAGCCTTTATATGCATTTACATACCTGTCGTTAATTGAAGCAGAGAAAAATTAGTAGAAAAAAAGAATACTACGTTTCCCCTAACGACTGGGAAAGTTATGGTTACGCCGCCGCGTTGGGAATTCGTAATACGCACCCTCGCTGCGGCCATCGCTCCCGCGAAAGACTTTGGTCGTTCCTCTGGGAACATTTTTCGTCGCACCGGAAACGAGAGCGGTAACGTCCGTACGCGAAAGGGTCTTTGGACTCGAGAATTTAAAAGTGTATTACGTGCGTCAAATATACGAGGACCTTCCCGTGACCCAACCTGCTATGCCCCTTGGCACAGAGGTTTCACATTTTACGAATCGCATATATCTTCTCGATTCAACCCCTTCGCGTTTTATTCGGTGAAATTAGAAAACGTAAATTTTCATCTTTACCTTGCGCTTAGGTTGCGCTTAATGTTCTGTCGACTGCTGGTTTTACTACCCCTGTGTAATGTGACCGTGTAAATATGTACGAGACACATTTCACGTATATATTTTAATAAAGTTACGTATAGATAAATCTGGATCTCTTAATGGTACATTTTATAGGGTGGATACGGTTTTTGTAGTTTTAATTCGCCAGACATTGCAGTAAATGATATACGTATATATAGTATATGCCAGGGCAGAGAGAAAGAGGGAGAGAATGGAATAAGAGAGAAAAAAAGAAGCTCAACCATTTAGCTTGCGAGCGAATATACGAAAGTTACAAGTATACAATTAATTTTCATAACCCACCCCTGGAAGGGCTGGCATATTTTACGTACCCTGTAACACTCGGGTGGTCTCGTTTAAAGTGCCTCATCCCGAAATTTTGTGAGCTGCAGATTGCCAATTACGTAAATCACCGTAAGTGGGGTGAAACTCCATGCTCGTACTTAGGACGATATAAAAACAAGGGTTGTTGCCACCCAATAGCTTGTCGGTCGTTGAAAAGTTCTATCGGAAACAAAGTGTAGGTAAACTGTGGTCCGTCGAATGAAAATTTTATTTTCAAATTTCAAAAATTATTAGCACGCAACATTTTTCGCGATTATCAAAATATCGTTAATTGATCCTGCAGGTGCCAAGCGATATTTGCACGAATGAATTTCACGGCTGATAATGCGAATTTACTAGGGTTTGTAATTGCGGTTGAAAAATTTATATGCAAGTACAATCTCTGGAGTCCAATTTCGCGAATATTCGAGCCAAACGCGAATAAGCTCGAAGTGCGTTGCTTCGCTTGAATTATTATTCTATATGGCTACGATAAATTCACACGTTAAGGGTCTAATGGAGAAAATTTGTTTGACAATAATTAGATACAATGTGTCATGTGGTTAGTGATTAGAATATTATGGGATTTAACCTTGTAATTCGCGGTATTGCCAATTTAGGACCTGCGGCAAGGATTATGAGGTTATAAAGTATTCGCCATTTTTGGTTGTAACAGTTCAATAATTTTGTCTATACCTGTACGTATCTCACTCTCGTTCACCCTCTGTATGATTGTTCTATGGAATATTTTACAGAGCTTTTGCGAAACTATATTAGCTATTATGCCATTTTATGCTCACGTATATATACTTGTAATCTTGTAAACGGTATAGTTTGAGGACACGACAAATTAGGAGCATTCATAATAGCATGCTGATGTTTCTTTTAAACTACTACTCGAGACATCACAGCATTGGGGTTCTGAGCTAACCTAACCTAACGAAGCATTTCTAAGCCCATCGCAAATACTGAATGCCTAGCATTGAAAAAATGTGAAAAAATTGAAAAAATGAAAAAAAAAACAAATTTGGTGTGACAGCTGCTGTATGGTCCTCAAAGCAATCATTACGCTGTAAATTGTTTGAGGACGGTCCCCAAAGTTTACATTTGTCCTCAAGTTATACGTTGTATAGTTCAAATTGTCCCCAAAGTATACTTTTAACATAAATAGATAATATGAGAATTTCGAAAATTGCATAATTATTTATCTTGACACTTTTCCAATGAAATGGATTAAATCTGAAAAATTCAAAACGCTGCAGTTTCTCAAACCTACATTTTTCTTCATGTTAACGAACATTGATCGAGTCAAGATAAAATGTTTTTATATACAACATATATATATACAGGGTCAGCCAGTAGAAACGCACCAGCAGAAGTTGGCCGCAAGTGACCGACACGGCAGTGTGGCCTCTTCAAAAAATGACACGTGACTGTGACTCATTCCCATAAGCGCAAACTGACAGTTCGCATAGCAATAAGGTTATTGAAATATTTCAATAGTTAGGTTACTGAAATAATTGATTAATATTGTAATGACAAAATGTAATATCATTTAAGATTTATTTTCACAACAGATCTCAATTAAAATAATGTAAAGTTTAAAATATTCACAATTTCGATATTTCCAAGTAACGATCACAACTGCAATTCTGCAATACAATGCTTTAATTGATTTAAAAATCAATTAATTGAAATGTTTTTATAGCAAAAAATCTGTTGTGAAAATAAATCTTAACTGATATTATATGTTGTCATTACAATGTTAATTAATTATTTCAGTAACCTAACTATTGAAATATTTCAATAACCTTATTGCTATGCGAACTGTCAGTTTGCGCTTATGGGAATCGGTCACAGTCACGTGTCATTTTTTGAAGAGGCCACACTGCCGTGTCGGCCACTTGCGGCCAACTTCTGCTGGTGCGTTTCTACTGGCTGACCCTGTATATATATATGTTGTATATAAAAACATTTTATCTTGACTCGATCAATGTTCGTTAACATGAAGAAAAATGTAGGTTTGAGAAACTGCAGCGTTTTGAATTTTTCAGATTTAATCCATTTCATTGGAAAAGTGTCAAGATAAATAATTATGCAATTTTCGAAATTCTCATATTATCTATACGCACTCTAGCAGTCCATCAGATTATTATATTATATATCCGAGTTGTTTTCGTGACTTGAGCGAAACTCAAAAACGTCATGCTGACAATTTTCTTTTTCTCGGCTGCTTTCGCGACGCGCGAACGGAAGAATGAATGTTGCTAAAAGGAAATGAAAATTCTGAATCTGCACCCGATGAAAATTATTGTTGTCCTCGTAATATTTCGTCAGACGATACAACTTTTTTTTTTAAGGATTTACGGTGCCATTATTCTTCCGGGAGCTTGTCGCGGTTTTAAAGGCCACTCGGTAGATACAGCGAGGGTAAAATATCCGAGGGTAAATTTCTCAGGCGAAAAAAGAAAAAAAGTATTCACACGGGGTGTAACGTCAAACAGTCAGTCGCAGTAGGGTACGGAAGAAATTATGATCTTCAGGGACTCTATGGAAATTCTCTAAAAAGCTGTGGTAACGCGAAAGAACTTTTTTCCGTAGAAGAACCGTAACCGCTAATTTTTTTTTCGCTTTGTCCGAACCAGATGCAGCGAGCATCATTAGCGTTGATACAAATTTTTTTTAAATTTATTATACTGCTATATTGCTATTAATGTGGCATCCGACCATCATACGTATAAAGCATATTGTAATTTACTTTATTTTCGCGTATATAGCAGTATCTTTATTTTTTCACCTCGTTTTTAATGAACCCACGTATAACTTGTCTCAGTGGCGCCATCTCTTTTACGCTCTGATATTTTTCGAAAGTAGAAGTAACGAAGTACAAAGCGTAGAGGTGCACGCTCCCATATATTTTATTGGCTTACATGGCCCAAGGCACTCGCTCCCAAGCTCACTCGCCTGGGGCTTGTAAGGCGGATGAAGCTTTCAAAAGCCGCAGTTGCATCCGCGAATTGAAAATTAGATTTAGACATTCGCTTTCCGTACGTTCCGTACATACGGCTTCTAGGAATGGTATTACGTCCAAAATGGATAACACGAGTAGGGGTAGATGCAAGTTCTGCAGTATACGTAAAAGTACATTGACTTAACTTGGAATCGAGGCTAAAATGGAGCAGTGTAGTTATATTAATATTTTCCATAAAAAAAAATCATGAATCATAGCATTGATACGTCCAAATATTTTACATATTAAATTACTTGGTATTATTTTCAAAAATTTTATTGCAAACTATACGCAACCCCAATTCCTGGAATTTCCTGGAATTTATCTACTGGAATTTTCTTGATATTTGATTTTACTTTGATTTTTTTTCTCTCAGACTGCAAACTCGAGAAGAGCCAATGTTTCCTTTTCATTTGGATTCTTACGGTCTTGTTGTCCTCTACAGCATCTCGGGGCCATGTACGCGCAATTTCATCGATACAAGGAAGACGCGGTTTTGTTCGACGCAAGTGACAATAAACGTCGTTCAATCAGCTTAAGAGGAAACGTTGGCGCGACGCCAACGGAAAGTCCGACGCGAAAAGATGGAGCGTCTTGAGAAGTTACTGCTCGAAGCAATTCCGGGTAAGATATTAACGACGTAAATCTTGAAACGCTCCCTCAAATATCTAGAGAACGTCGATACTTGTAGTAACGAAACATTCCGTAATTGTCGAGAAACTACGTAAAGTCTCCATGGAGCCTTATTGAAATACGAGTAGAATAGTTAATACACGCATTGATATACGGAATTGCACATACTACATACATACTACAGTAGTTACGATTCGTAACTTACGAAGTTTTATACAGAAACGGTTCGATGCTTTGAGAAATTCTCAAAAGGCGATTCGGTCGACCTTCCCACACGCTGAGACACCATAAGTCAGACTTTTCATCCTTTGACTTTGTTGCAGGTATCCTTCGGGCAAATGTCCATTTTAGCACCCCAAGTGATCACTAAGGATTCTCATTGGCAGGATCACCCTTGAAAAAAAGTTTTCGGGTCGAAGCGAGCGAGAGTTAAAGCCTTCGGAGCCCTCGGAGAGTCCGTTAGGACTTTTCCAGAAGTCGGGAAACATCGTTTCGCAGGCCGAAGATAAAGGAACGGAGAGAGAAGACTGACGGCTACGAGAGGATATAAAAGAAGGGTGGCAAAGGTGTGCGGCAAGAGAGAAATGGGTTATACGGACGGCGTGAAGGATGAAAAGAGAGGAAGAGTGGTTGGGTCCCGTGCAAGTTCTATGAGCGAGGTTAACTCGAGTTTCCATTGATTTTTCGCTAGGAGCCTCGAGCGGAGTTTTTCCCGCGGCAGCGTCGCCGTTCCGTTCAATCTGCCACGCGTCGCGACGCTCGCGAACAGCCAACCCGTAAAGATCGCCTGAAGAGTGAGTTCAGCCACTGTCGCCCGTAGTGGCCCTGCCTGAATCCCGAATCGAGAGGAGCTGGCTCGAAGACGTTGGAGGTTGGGATAAGGTGCCTAGGGAGATTCGACGGGAACCCTTGGAAGTACGTAGCCAAAGTGCTTGGGATTTAATCTAAATCCTCGGCCGAGCGAAGGAAAATAACGGAAACGTGAAAAGAAACTTTTCTCGTTTGAGAAGCATACCGTAGCTTTATGTGCGCGAGAAGCGATTATCCCTCTCGAAAGGTAGACACCGGGAGAGAGTGGCGAGTAGAGTGAGATGGTGGGAGCAGGGAGGAGGTAGAGGGGAGAAAGAAAGATGTATCGCTTACCTAACCTAACCTATAGAATATAATGCCACTTGGGTTACACATTGAAATCGCATCCTGTATAACCAGTTTACTCCAGGCGCCGACTACTGGCAGCTTATGAAAACGCGCCTCCATCGTCAAAGCCGGTGGAAAGGCCTTATAGGCTAAACGACGGAATGCGTTGTTAAATGAATTGATTTCCGTTTCGTAAGACGCTTTAACGTCGCTTCGCGTCGGGCGTTTGACGTTGACGAGGCAGGCAGCTCTTTGTGCCAAATTCCTGTCGCGTTAGTGGTTTTCGCGAGCTTCTCACGTGTACGTTCCAATGGAGAAAGGAGAAGGAGCGCGAGATTGAAGCTGCGGCAGTAAGACAGGGAAAGAGAAAGGCGATGAAAATAAATATGGCAAAATCGCACCGGGGAAGAGAATTGATTTCCTAGTCGATAATCATGCGAAAGGATGCGCTGATCCGTTCAACTTTTCGACGATCGGACTTTTTTTTTCCCTCACCAAGAAAATCACGTCGACGCTCACGATTTCACGGCTACTTAACGTACTTCTTTCACGGGGCCTTTCGAAAGTCAAGATTCTTCCGATTTTATTCTGCCATCCATTATGACATCACTTACTTACATACTTTTACTCTGGACTTCAATAGCTTCTTCGCGGCGAAACGTAAGTTAACGCGATATATCAATTTGCCGGTAATTTAAATTTTTTCTCATTTCCATCTGCTTTCGCGAGATACGAATTTCAATGGAATTACTCCAATGTGGGAGATTCCTTACGAAGAAAACGTTGTGACCTTTTTCCACTGACCCCCTATTTTTTGTAAATTAAAGTTTTTCGTTTCCTTTACTTTTTTTACAGTATTGTATTTATCTACCGATTATACATTACGCTAATGACTTTTCTCATAATTGAAAGTCGATAAAATTTAAAACGTATGACTGTCTTTTACAAAATTATATAACAGTCTTTATTACATCTCGTAGCCTCGCGATACTAATCACGGACAATTTTTTAACATCCCTTAAGCGTGAAATCACTGACTCCCTTTATATCTCGAGAGGCGTAAAGTGACGAAGAGAAAAAGCCACCCCCTCAAAGCTCTACGGCCTCGGTGCGGTCTTACATCCGGCTAAAAACCACTGTGGGCTTTTTGCCGAGCTAATTAATACGCGTAATTAACTCCCGCGCTGCGTGAGAGAGGCATAAAGATCTTTCGCCCTCCAACGTGAGAAACGCGAGAAACGTGGGCGGGTGGGGGTGGGGGGTGGGGGG